GGGCATTGTAAAGCACTGTAGTGTAGCTGTTGGCCCAAACAAATGTCAGCCCTTCCCTTTTAGTGTCCCAACTCACCACCCTTGCACAACTGTCACACACACCATGAGACCTTGTGTAGATCTGTCCTTGATTTCATTTTTACTAAACAACAAGGGAAACAAAGTCTTGACTGATTTATTAAAGAGGTGTATAGGTAAAATCTTTAAGGGGCAGACAATAGTGAGCAGGTACATCAAGGCTAATCTTTACAGCCCTGCCGGGAGGAAATACATCAGGGTAAGGCATGTAACTATACCCTTTGAGGTGGGGAAACAAGGCTGTGCATGACTGACAGATATGGACACAGGGGTGTAAGTGCCCCTTGATATCAGAATACAAATGGAGGGGCATGAGTAGTTGGTTTCGTTGACGTGTCATGGAAAAAGATGATATGGAATAATTTCCCGAGCAGCCTTGGGTGTCTAGCGGACTAGTGGGGACTGCTTCAGAGAGATGAGGACTGAACGCATGCGGGACACATCCTTAGCCTGCTTGCTGGACTTGGGATTAAAGTCACAGAGCCGTGCCACCCGCTCCCACTCTGTGCCTGGGTTGTTCTCATCCAGATCTGAAATCATGGCTTCCTCAGCCGCCCTGTAAGCATTAAAGGAGGAAAAGACATAGAAGAGCGAGCCCATCAGTGTGTGAAGTTGTGAGATACACAGCTGTGCAGCCCTGAAAAAGATCTCTGCTGACTAACACCACATACAAGTTCTTTAGACAAAGTCAGAGGCGCCAACAGTGAAATTTTGACTCAAGTTATCAGTTTTGGTTACACTGACACTGAAATTGAACTTTAAGCCTGGCATTAAAAACTCAGTTTTTCCATCTGATTTTGTCTGGGTTGGACTTTTTTAGTTCAGCAGCATCTACCTCAGGGCTGGACAGTCCAATCACTACACACAAACATCCATCTATCTTTACTCCCAAAACTGAGTAATCAACAAGGAACAAGCTTTCCCGGCTTCATTACCTGTGGCATGCCCCCCACTTTACAGAATACAGCAAGTCACCTGTATATTCTACTCTCAACAACATCAGGGGGAGATATATACACAACAATGAGAAATCAAGCTCAAGCCAAAAACAACCAACCCCCCCAAATAATAATAATAATAATAATAATAAACACAACAACAATAATAATAACAACAATAAATTAAGAAAAATGTATTTCTGGCTGGGTAAAAGTGCTGTTCATTAAGGAACTCAACAAGAACCAAGTATAGTGATATGTAGTTATCTGTATACTTGTCCTTGATTAATAGGAATAGTAATACATGTTGAGATTTTTAAATCAAGCCTAGCAGAACAAACAAAACAAAACAAAAAAATGCATTAGGCATGCATTGGCAAGCAGAAAAGCGGGGTGTTTCGGCTGTGGCAAGGAATGCGCTGACGTTGAAATTATGTGTCTCAAATGCCAAACAGATAAT